AACTCATAACACAAGTTAGGTGAGAGATGACGACTTTATTTTGTTTATAATTTTTATATCTATATTCATGAATGAGACTGGACTTCGATGTCACTTTCTCATACTTCCCTTGTTGGGTTTCATTATGAGCTGGGCACAGTTTCCTCTTTTCTCATTTGCTGCAAAAGTCTATCTAACACTGAAATGGTGGATTCCCTGAAAGTCTGATAGTACTCTCCTATCTAACTCTGCAGACCTGGTGCTTTCTTAAGCAGAAAAAAAATTTTAATCACTAACTATAATTTCTTCAGTGACCATAATACTATTTAGGATTTGAATTGCTTCTAGAATTGGTTTTGGTAAAAATTTCTAGGATTTTTGCCATTTCATCTAACTTTCCAAATTTGTCAGAATTGTTCATAAACTCTTAATCTTGCTCTGTGCGGTAACTGCTTACATTCCCTTCAATTCTTAAATTTTTCAACACTTTTCCTTCTTTGAGCCATAAATATTCATAATATTTTTTATTTCCAAACATACGGAGTCTTGTTTTCCTGAATTGACTTTCAGCTTCATTTGCAGTGAGATCAGAGAATATTCTGTATGACTTCACTTACATGAAACTTGTTGAGGATTGCTTTATGCCTCAGTACCTGGTCAATTTTTACGTGTTCCAAAAATACGCTTTAAGGAAACTGTATTTTATATTTGCTGGGACGGTATTCTACATTTGTCCATCCAGTGAAGTCTGTTAATCACATTTTTTAAATCTCCTATATCCATACTTATTTTACCTGGTTTTTTTTTTTTCCCTCTCAATTAAAAGGAAGGTATTAAAATTCTCCCATTTTGATTATGGATTTATCTGTTTTTTTCCTTGTAATTGTATTTGTCTTTTGTATATTGATCTTCTCCTACATTGTCTTTCCCTCATTCTTTCTAGAATGTTTATTAGATAAGTTGATCCATATGAAACTCTAACTTTACAGATCAAAATTAGACTAATATTGGTCATCTCATTTGGTTCAACCTCAAGATCTTCTAGAACTATTCTCTATTAACTCATCTTTCATATTTTCCACTTATCTCAGAGATTCCTTCTACATCACTATGTTCTTTCTTCATTTGTATATAATTGCTGTTGAAGCACACCCTTGGGGGGTTTTTAATGTCAGTGAATTTCTAAAGTCATGTTTGATAAAATCTTATTCCTTACTCATTTTTTAATCCATCTTTTATCTCTATAAAAGTTTTAAAAGACTTTGCATTTACCTATTTAACAGTCTGTATCCAATGGTGCAATACCTAATGTCCTTTGTAGGTCTAAATTTTACTCTTTGGTTCTGGTGCCTCTCAAACTTTTGATAATATATTCCTTTGTGTGTTTGCTAATTTTTTTTAGAGGGGTGGTAGAAAATTAATCGGTAGAAATACTAAGGGGCCCAGGTTTACACAGTTTTATCCATGTAGCATTTGTGTTTGTTTCTGCTGGGTGTCAAAGAACAAAGTCACCTGTGGTCCTTTCATTCTCGGTCGTGCAGGAAGTATAAATTTGAGCCCCACACTGAAATGAGGCCAAGGCGACAGTAATAAATCTAGAAAGGGGACTGTATTTATTCCAAGTTGTTATGAAGATAGAGAGGTTTCCGTGTTGCCTCTTTTTATAGACAGGGAGCTTTTCCTTCCTACCTTCACCTTTCACTGAGGGATGCAGCTACTTCAAAGATTCAAGAGCTCTGTGCAGAAGACTCAGATCCAGTTCCCCACAAAGTCTCCTTTCTCCATAAATACTGAAAGCTTTTATTTTAGTATTTTACCCCAGCTTCCACAGGACTTTTTAAACCACTCTGATTTCAGTTCCCTGTTCTTTTTTTTTTTTTTGGCCCTTTAGGATCTCCCTTAGTTTTTGTGAGCCTAATGTATTAAATAATTTTTAAAAAATCTACCCAGCATTTAAGTGTTTTATAGCTACAGAGCTTTTCAAAGTACCTGGTCTGCCTTACTACCAGAAACTTTCATTCCCCCTTTTCAGTAATTTCTAAGAGAAACACTAATGTCTAACTTTCATCACATGTATTACTCTACTCTATGTAACTGTTAGAGCTTCACTAATTTAGGTAAGTGATAAAGAAAGTCAGTTTAAATTCATTAAAAGTCAGAATCACATAAGTATTTTTAGAGAGAAGTAAGTTTGATTGACATCAATAGCACAGAGTATTTGATCTTGGCTAATAAAGCTTCCAGTACATGTACCGAATACTTTTAATTACAAGTCACTTTTATTCATTATACATTCTACACATACTGCTAAAAAATAGTTTGCTCTTCTGAGTGAACTGAGGATGACCCCTGAAACATTTACATTGATTTGTTAAGCAAATTAATGATTTTAGGCATCTCAAATTCAAAACATTATACCTAGATGAGCCAGATATTTACTTGTGACTTGAGAATAAAACTCATAAACTCTTTAATCTTAGGCTTAGTTTAGAGAAATTACAAAAATGTAATTGAGGGAGCTTCATAATCAACTACTAAATTCAACTGCAGATATCCTGTAAAATATTTTAATGTAGTCCCAAATGTAATTCCTTAAAAACTAGCCTTTAGCACTGCAAACAGATATTGTTCCCACAAGTATAAGATTAGCCAGTTCTTTACCTCTCCAGCACTTGCACATTCCTTGGCTCTTCTGTGAAGTGCAGCCCACGTATCTTCATACCTAAAAAAAGCAAAAAATAATTCAAAATGCAAACCACACATTAAAAAAAAAATACCATCTAAAACTGAACCTGGAACATCCTATGGTGCCCTAAGAAAAAAAAAAAAAACAACTCAAAAATAATGGGGACATGTCACAAGGACATAGGAGAAACTTGAAGAGGCTTCCAATGGCCAAACCTGGGACAATCTGAGCAACAAAATAAATAATGGTAGTGATGGGTTATAACTCAAGGGCTAAAACAAACATCCACGAGTTCATAGTGATTTAAATAAACAACTGAACAAATGAATGGGGGAGAAGGGGGGAATTCTATAGAATTCCAATTAATAATTGTAGAAAAAATGATTAAAATATCACCACTTGGTAAACACGACAATAATTGTTTCAGGCAAGAATTCTAACGGATGCTAAAATTAGTGAGGGAAATTATGAAGAGAAACAACATATTTATTACATAGTTTCAAAATATCTCCTAAATTAAAAAGGGGGAAACAGTACAGCAGTGTAGAAACCAGGCAGACACTTCCCTAACCACGTGATCCACAGTAATGAAACATATAAACATCATGTGTCTATTAATGTGATGCCCTGAGGACACACCATTGCCCTTCTGGTATTCTTGCCAAAAAAACACTGTCTTTAATCATGAGGGGGGAAAAAAGGCACGTAAACCTAAATTGAGGGGCATTTTGCAAAATAATAATATGAAAATAACAAAAAGTACTCTTCAAAAGTGTCAAGGTTATAAATAACAAAGACTCAGGAACTGTTCCAGATTAACGGAGATGAAGGAGGTACGGTGACTAAATATAACCTATGATTCTAGATTGGATCCTGGTCCCAAAATAAGGACATTAATGGGATAGCTGATGAAATCTGAATGAGGTCTGTAGGTTATGGAGCAGGGTTAATTTCCTGGTTTTCGTAATTGTACTCTTACACAAAATCTTCAAAATATGCAAAGCAATAATTGACAGAACTGAAGGGAGAAATAAACCATTCTCCAATAACCAAGACTTCATACCCCACTCTCAATAATGAATGGTTAAAATGACCAGACAAAAGATAAACAAGAAAGGACCTGAACACCATAACACAATAAACCAACTAGATAGAAGAGATATATACAGAACACTCTACCCAACAACAGCAGAATACACATTCTTCTCAAGTGCACATGGGAGATTTTCCAGCATAGATCATCTGCTGGGCCACAAATTAACTCGCAGATTTTTTTAAAGGGGGTAAATGAGAAATCTCTGAACCTTTTGCTCAATTTTGCTAACCTAAGCCTGATCTAAAAAAGTCTATATATTCATATGAGATACATATTTATATATGTTATGAGATAGATATCATACGAAGTATCTTTTCTGACCACAATGGGATGAAGTTTGAAATCAACAACAAAAGGAAAACTGGAAAATTCACAAATCTGTGGAAATTAAATAAATACTTTGAAATAATCAATGGATCAAAGAAAAAAATAAGGGTAATCAGAGAATATTAAGAGATGAATGAAAATAAAACCACAACATACCAAAACTCATGGGACTCAGGAAAACAGGGCTTTGAGTGAAATTTATAACTATAAACGCCTTACATTTAAACAGAAGAAAGATCTCAAATCAACAGCCTAACTTCACAACTTAAGGAAGTAGAAAAAGAACAAACTGAACCCAAAGCTAGCAGAAGGAAGAAAAAAATAAACATTAGGGCAGATAAATAAAATAGAATATAAATATATTGGGAAAATCAATGAAACCAAAAATTGGTTCTTCAGAAAGACTAACAAAATTAAGTCTTTAAGTGGACTAAGGAAAAAAAAAGAGAAGACTCAAAATTAGAAACAAAAGTGGGGACATTACCAATTTTATAGGAATAAAAATGATTATGAGAGTACTATGAGTAACTGTACACCAAAAAATTAGATATCTAGATGAAACAGACAAATTCTGGGGCACCTGGGTGGCTCAGTTGGGTGGGCGTCTGCCTTCAGCTCAGGTCATGATCTCAGGGTCCTGGGATCATGCTCTACTTCGGGCTCCCTGCTCAGCAGGGAGTCTGCTTCTCCCCCTCCCTCATCTTCTGTCCCTCCCCCCCCCAACTTGTGCTCACGTGCATGCTCTCTAAATGAATAAATAAAATCTTCAAAAAATAATAATAATAAAAAAAAAACAAATTCCTAGAAAAAGAAAACCTACCAAGACTGAATCCCAAAGAAATTGAAAATCTGATAAGTAGTAAGGAGACTGCATCTGTCATTGAAAATCTCACTCCTGAACAATAATGAATCAAAGAAGAAACTAAACAGGAAATAAAAATGTATCTTGAAACAAATGAAAATGGAAATACAACATACCAAAACTTACGGAATACAGTTTTAAAAGGGAAGTTCATAACAAATGCCTACGTTAAGAAGAAAGATCCGAAATAAACAACCTAACTACACTTTAAGAAACTAGGGAAAAAAAACAACAACTGAGGCCAACATTAGCAGAAGGAAGGAAATAATAAAGATTAGAGAAAAAATAAATGAAATGGAGAACAGGAAAACAATAGAAAAGATTAACCAAACTAAAAGTTGATTCTGTGAAAAGACAAACACAATTGACAAAACTTTAGCTAGACTAACCACAGAAAAAAAGACAGAGGACCCAAATCAAAATTATAAATGGAAAAGAAGACATTATAATTGACACCACAAAAATACAAAGGATCGTAACAGGCTGTTATGAACAACTATACACCAACAAACTGGACAACCTAGAGGAAATGGCAAAATTCTTAGAAACATACAGACTACCAAAATGGAATTAGGAAGAAACAAAAAGTTTGAATAGCAATCACCAGTAAGGGGATTGAATCAGTAATCAAAAATCTCCCAATGAAGGAAAACCCAGGATGAGATGCCTTCACTGGTGAATTTTACTACACATTTCAAGAAGAATTAATGACAATCATTCTCAAACTCTTCCAAAAAATGAAGAGGAACACTCCCAAACTCATTTTAGGAGGCTAGCAGACTCTGCAACCAAAGCCAGTAAAGGACAATATCAGAAAAGAAAACTACAGACCAATATTCCTGATGAATATAGATGCAAAAACTCTCAATAAAATACTAGCAAGTCAAATTCAGCAGCACATTAAAAGAATCATTCACCATGATCAAGAGGGATTTACATCTGGGATGAAAGGATGGTTCAACATCTGTAAATCAATGTGATACACCACATTTATAGAAAGACCAAAAAAAAAGTCCTAGGAGAGAAAAGGCATCTAACAAAATTCAACATCTGCTCATGATAAAAAAACTTAAGTATAAAAGGAGCATAACTCAACATAATAAAAGCCTTATTTATATAAGCTCATGGCTAACACCATACTCAATGGTGAAACACTGAAAGTTTTTCTGCTGCCCAATCTCACCACTCCTTTTTTTTTTTAGATTTTATTTATTTATTTGACAGAGAGAGACACAGCGAGAGAGGGAACACAAGCAGGGGGAGTGGGAGAGGGAGAAGCAGGCCTCCTGCTGAGCAGGGAGCCCAATGTGGGGCTTGATCCCAGGACCCTGGGATCATGACCTGAGCCGAAGGCAGATGCTTAACAACTGAGCCACCCAGGCGCCCCCCAGTCTCACCACTCCTATTCAACACAGTACTAAGAACTCCTTGCCAGAGCAATCAGACAAGAAAATGAAATAAAAGGCATCAGAAATGGAAAGGAAGTAGAATTGTCTCTATCTGCAGATGACATAATTTTATACATAGAAAATCCTGAAGACTCCACAAAAAAAACCTGTTAGATCTAATCAACAAACACAATAAAGTTGAAGGAAACAAAATTAACATACAAAAATCGGTAGCATGTCTATAAACTAACAATAAATTATGTGAAAAATAAAACAATCCCATTTACAATAGCATTGAAAACAATAAAATAGTTGGGAATCACCTTAACCCAGAAGGGGAAAGATCTCTACTCTGAAAGTTGTAAAACAATGATTTAAGAAATTGAAGATGAAAAATAAATGGAAAGGTATCCCACATTCATGGACTGGAAGAATATTGTTAAAACATCAATATTACCAAAAGCCATCCATATATTCAATGCAATCCCTATCAAGATTCCAATGGCTTTTTTTTTAATGGAAGTATAAAAAGCCATCTAAAATTTATATGGAACTGCAAAGACCCCAAATAGCCAAAGCAATCCTAATAAACAAGAATAAAGAGTGAGGCATCACATTTCCAGATTTCAAGCTACACTACAGAGCTACAGTAATCCAAACAGCATGGAACTGGCATAAAAATGAATAGATCAATGGAACAGAATAGAAAGTCTAGAATAACCCAAGCATATGTGGTCAACTAATATTTGACAAGGGAGCCAAGAATACTCAATGGAAAAGACAGTCTCTTCAATAAATGGTTCTGGGAAAATGGGATATTCACATGTAAAATAATGGAACTATGCCCCTATCTTATACCTCTCCCCAAAATTAAGTCAAACTGGATTAAAGACTTAAATGTAAGACCTGAAACCATTAAATTCCTAGAAGAAAACAGGTAAAAAGTTCCATGACATGGGTCTTGGCAATGATTTTTTTGGACATGACACCTAAAGAACAAGCAACAAAAAGAAGTGGGACTATATCAAATTAAAAAGCTTCTGCAGAGCAAAAGAAATAACAAAGTGAAAAGAGACTAAAGAATGGGAAAAAAATATCTGCAAACCATGCATCTGATAAAAGGATAATATCCCAAATATATAAGGAACATATACAATTCAATATCAAAAAAACCCCCCAAATAATCCAATTTTTAAAAATGTACAAAAGACCTCACTACACGGTTCCCCAAAGATAGATGAATGGCCAACAGATATATGAAAAGATGCTCAACATCCTAATTATCGTGGAAATGCAAATCATCAAAACCACAATGAACTATACCACCTCCCACCTGTTAAAATGGCCATCATTAAAAAGATGTAACAAATGCTGGTGAGGATGTTGAGAAAAAGGAACCCTTAGTGCACCGTTGGTGGGACTGTAAACAAGTATAGACACTATGGAAAACATAATGGAGGATCCTTAAAAAATTAAAAACAGAACTACCATATGATCCAGCAATCCCACTTCCAGGTATTTAACCAAAGGAAACAAAAACACTAACTCAAAAAGGTATCTGCACTCTGATGTTCACAGCAGCATTATTTATAATAGTCAAGACACAGAAACAACTTAGGCATCCACTGATGGATGAATAGTGCATATATACAATATATACAATGGAATATCATTCAACCACAAAAAATGAGGAAATCTTGCCATTTGTGGCAACATGGATGGACTTTGAGGGTGGTATGCTAAGTGAAATACATCAGAAAGAGAAAGACAAATACTCTGTGATCTCACCTATATGTGGAATAAAAAAAAAAAATCCAAATTCAGAAAAAGAGATCAGATGTGTGGTTACCAGAGGCAGAGAGTGCAGGGAGAGGGTACTGGAGGAAGGTGGTCAGAAGGTATAAACTTCCAGTTATAAGGTAAGTACTAAGAATGTAATGTACAACATGATGACTACAGTAACACTGTTGTATGACATGAAAGCTGTTAAGAATTCTTATCACAGGAAAAAATTTTTCTGTTTTTGCTCTTTTTGTTTTATCTCCATGAGATGATAAATGCTAACTTATTGTGATCATTTCACAATACATGTAAATCAAACAAGTATACTGTATACCTTAAACGTATACAGTGACATACCTCAATTATATCTTAATAAAACTGGAAAAAAATTTTTAAAAACCTCCCCAAAAAAGAAAAGCCTGGGTCCTAACAGCTGCACTGATGAATTCTGCCAAACATTAAAAAAACAACGGTCTCAAATTCTTCAAAAAAACCGGAGGAGGGAACATTCCCTAATTCATTCTAGGCCAGCATTGCCCTGATACCTAAGCCAAAGACACAGACCAAGAAAACTACAGACCAATATCCTTTATGAACGCTGATGTAAAAATCCTCAATAAAATACAGCAAACTGAATTCAGCAGCATATTCAAAGGATATATACCATGACCTATCAGATTTTTTTCTAGAATTCAAGAATCACTTCACATATGAAAATCAATCAATGTAATATAACCACATTAACATAATAATATAATTGAAATACATAATTTCAATTGATGCTGAAAAAGCATTTGACAAAACTCAACACACTTTCATAAACTCAGATAAAAACTCAAAAAACAAGGAATAAAAGGAAACTATGTCAACATAATAAAAACCATTTATAAAAAACCCACAGCTAACATCATACTTGGTGTCAAAAGATTGAAAGCTTCTCCTCTCAGATCAGAAACAAAGATGCCTGCTTTTGCTAATTCTATTCAACATAGTACTGGAAGATCTAACCAGAGCAATTAGGCAAGTAAAAGTAAGAAAAGGTATCAAATTGGAAAGAAAGAAGTAAAATTATGTTTACCAGTGATATAATCTTACATGTAGAAAAGCCTAGGGATTCCACAGAAACAAACCCTGTTAGAACTAATAAACAAATTCAGCAAAGGAGCAGAATATAAAATCAACACACAAAGTCAGTTGTATTTTCATATACTAACAATGAAAATTCAAAAAAGAAATTTAAAAACTCCATTTATAAAAGCATTAAAGAAATTTAGGATTTAACAAAGATGAAAGACTAGTATGATGAAAACTACAAAACTGCTGAAAGAAATTAAAGAAGACGTAAATAAATAGAAAGATACCCCATATTCATGGATTGGAAGACTAATATCATTGAGATGTCAATAATACACAAAGTAATCTATAAATATTTAATGCCATCTCTATCAAAATTCCAATGACTTATTTTGTAGAAACAGAAAAAAAAATCCATCTACCAAAATGCACACTTAAAAATGGTTAAGATGGTAAATTTCATGTTATATGTATTTTGTCACAATTTTTAACAATTAAAAACATTGTAATTTAGAGATCTGCTATTTAAAATGGTCTTTCCTCCACTTAATATTAGTTCCAAAGAGAAAAAAACTGTGTTTCAGGGCAATGAACAGACATATTATAGACATCTTCCTATGGTTGTAAATTTTCATGTTAAGTCCCACAGTGCACCCCATTTCAAACAACTACCACACATGAAAGTCTACCCATCTAAATCTTTCAATGAAGTCCATTCAACTAAATCACTAGATTAAAAAAAATAATGATAAAATGTAAAGATTACACCACTGATCTTTACCATACCTTCTTTCATGTTCACTTACGCTCTTCACTCAACAAAACCAAGCAGGAAACTGGTATCAAATTAAGCACTTTTCATTTCAAAAAAGAAAAAAAATCTCTAGATTTAGCAACCATAAAAAGAAAGCCAGGAAAGAGCTAGAAAAGAAAAAGCAAACTGTGGGCATAGGTGACCGTGTCATCATAAATGCAGCTCTATCTTCTCCTGTACACATCTTCAGCATGGATCTGTCAGAGGGCTCACTATTAAGCTCAGAACTGCATATGACATACTTAAGCTATATATTTTTATAACAGCTACATTGAGGTAATTCGCATACCATAAAATACACCCCTTTAAAGTGTCTCATTCAGTAGTTTCTAGTATATTCAGAGTTGGGCAACTATCACTACCACCTAATTCCAAATCATTGTCATCACCCCAAAGTGAAAGCCCATACTCATTCCCCTCTCTCCTCCAATCTGTGCCAACCACTCATCTACTTTCCATCTCTATGGATTTGCCTATTCTAGACATTTCACAGAATGGAATCATGTGTTGGGTTTTGGGGTGTCATCCACCTTGTAGCACACACCAGTGTTCCGTTCCTTTCTGTGGCTGAATATACACTCATCAGTTGGTGAATACTGGTGTTGTTTCTACTTTTTGGCTTTTGTGAATAATGCTGCTATGCACATTTGTGTACAAGTTTCCATGTGGACGTATGTTTTCAATTCTCTTGGTGTGAAATTGCCAGGTCACACAGTAATTCTACATTTAACTTTTTAAGAAACCACCAAACTGTTTCCCACAGCAGCTGCACCATTTTATGTCCCTACTAACACTGCAAAAGGGTGTTACTTCTCCATGTGCTCAACGCTTATTTTCTTTGTTTTTGACTACAGCCAGACTAGAGGGTGTGAAGTGGTATCTCACTGTGGTCTCGATCAGCATCCACAAATGGTGTTGAGCATCTTTTCATGTGACTATTGGCTATTTATATCTTCTTGAGAGAAATATCTATTCAAAGCCTTTGCCTATTCTTCACTGGGTCTTTTTATCGCTGAGTTATAAAAGTTCTTTATATACTCTTAGATTCAAGTCCCTCGGCAGAAAAATGATTTGCAAATATTTTCTCCCATTCTGTGGATTGCTGTTCCACTTGCTTGATGGGTTCTGTGAAGTACAGAGGTTTTTAATTTTGATAGAGTCCAATTTATTCTTTTCTTTTGTTGCTTATGCTTTTGTTGCCACATGGAAGAAAATCATGTATTTTAATACTAATCTGCATGCCAACAGGAGGGGAGTAGAGAAGAAGGGGCATAAAATTAAAAATCAAAGAGAACTATCAAGGACTTGAATTCAAAATCAATTTTCTTGCAACAGAAAAACCATAAACATAAATACACATAATAAAGTACTGACTAGCAAATACAATAGTGATCAATCTGCTCAAAGTCTGAACGGACTTTTCATTAATCAAGGAAAAGTAAAAACCCCTCAGGGAAATGAATAAATTAATAATTTCTAATCACTATGTTTAGGTAAAATTTAGTTGTTTTAAGGTTTCTACCTATAAAATTATAAAATATTTTTAGACAATAGTCAGAAGCATAATTTTCTTATTTAAATGGAAACACTTACCTGCTAAGTAATTCTAGACCAGCAGAGTACTTTGGCGAACATGGAACAGTCCTGCCAAAAAAAAACCAAAAACCAAAAACAAAACCACTTAATTTATTAAAATTGCTTCCAATTTAGGCCAACTTAAAAAAAGCTACATATGAGAATTTTGACACTGTCAACTGTTATGTGGAATATTTTTAAATTACTAATGACAATTTACCTAAACTTTCAGAGAAATGTATTGTTTTATTTCACAATTCAAATACTGTAATATACTATCATCCATCACTCTGCCCTACAGATTATTTTTAGCAAACACGACGAATACCTTGATAACATGCTAGATAATAAGAATTTTTTTTTTAAAAGCTCATAATCTCTAGGCTTAAAGTGAAATTTGGTCGTGTTTTACCTATTAAAAAAAAATGAAAATGAAAAAGTTGCACAACACTGGTGTGTTTTTATATAAAACAGGTAACACAGCTCCAGAGGCTCACTTGCCAAGTACTGTTTCAGTTTTAATCTGCTTCTCAATAATGCAGGACTTTTACTTTGTGCTTAATATACAAAATGATTAACTGTGATCAAACAATAACCACTGGTTGTCCTAGAATAAAACAACTACCCCTCACCATGTCCCTTTCAACCATTTCATAATTTTTTCAGAAAAATTTCCAGTGTTACACAATTTATAAATAATCAGATTGCTTTGTAGTCAAGTGCACTCAACAGATGTAAAATCCACTAAAGTAATCATACTACTATAACTAGAGCTGAACGCTACGTGAAATTTAAGTCACAGTAAATTAAATCTTAGCACAGGCTTACCTTGGTTTGCTTTTTACTTTAGCTTCTCTTGACTTGTCACTTAAAGTCTTCAGCCTATAATTCAACAATTATAAAATATCATATTTTTACAGCTTAAGAGATTTTTTTCAACCATGAATTTCACAGTTCTTAAAATTTTACATTGGATGAGCTAATTATTTTAGCAAGAATTAAGCACCTCTACAGACAAGTATTTGAGTGTTTACTGTATGTCAGACACCTCAAATAGAACATTTGTAGCAAACATCTTTGTATTTTTTCTTGCCGCAATCCCTTTTTTAGAAACAGTTCCTAAGTCTGATTGGACTAGAGAAATGTCATTTACCTGGTATTATTAGAAAAAGAAGTGATCCACATAGGTGAATTTGGTAGGCAACAAAGATATCCAAGTGGCACATTTTAATAAAAGATATGATACCAGGCACTCAAAGCTCTTTAAGTACCATTTTGTGAAATTTTAGACACTGATCAAAAGCTTTCTTATTTTTTTTTTAATTTTTTTTTTATTCTTATGTTAATCCCCATACATTACATCATTAGTTCTAGATGAAGTGTTCCATGATTCATTGCTCGTGCATAACACCCAGTGCTCCAGGCAGAACGTGCCCTCCTCAATACCCACCACCAGGCCAACCCATCCTCCCACCCCCCTCCCCTCTAGAACCCTCAGTTTGTTTTTCAGAGTCCATCGTCTCTCATGGTTCGTCCACCCCTCCGATTTCCCCCGCTTCATTCCTCCCCTCCCGCTACCTTCTTCTTCTTCTTTTTTTTTTCTTAACATATATTGCATTATTTGTTTTGATCAAAAGCTTTCTAAAATATATGACAAACCTTTTTCATTACAGAGGACTTGGTATATTCTATTTAACATTTTCTGCTAACTCCAGGTCATTCTTATGAATACCACTGGATCACATTTTGTGGCAAAACAATCATCTCCTCAGATGTTTGAGCTAGGAATGCCTTTTCATTTGCCAACCTGAAACCAATCTATGGTGATCTGAGTTTGTTTGGAATCCTGTGTCTATTTTTTTCTAAATTTAAATTTCCCATCTCCACCACTGGTCATTTGGTTATCAGTGATAACTCACTGCTCCTGCTAGCTACCTAACTAACTGCAGCCTCTTCCCTCTCTATTATTGGCTTTTTTAAGTTACTGGGCTAGAAAACAGATAAATGGGCTAGAGATGCACAGAAAAAAAATAAAGTTAAATAGGCTCCTCTATATATCATATGAAGTTCAAAGACTTTGTACAATTTGTTTTTGCTTCACTGGGCCATTTTCACCTTCTTTTGGCTGTCGACTCTGTACCATATAATAGAGGTTGCCAAAAAGCGAATGCTACATTATGAGCCACTCTCGTATCAAATGAGATATTGCTGTAAATGTTCTTCTTCATGTGGTTACTTCAACAAATCTTCGTTTCTGAGTATGAAACACAGGCCACGGTACCACCACTAGCCCCTAACAAGCCTTTGGTAAAACGAGAAATAGGTGCCCGTTTCTCAAGGTACTTGACCCCTCTATCAGCCAGAAGCCACCTACTGTATAAGCCGACTCTCCTATGTATGCCCCCAAGCCTGCGCCTCCATGTGCCAGCCCGGACCTAGGACTCCATCTTGTTCGTCCATAATGCCTGGCTAACCACCAGAAAGGAACTTTTTTTTTTTTTTTTAAACAAACTGGAATGCCAGTTCATACAAAAATTTTCACATTATTCTATGTCGTTTTTCAAAAACTGAAATACTGATGAGATGAACTTCTTTGTTGTTAAAAAGACTCTGCAATCTCTTTAATAAACTCATTTGTTCCTCTCTTTCCAGATGAGTCAGGAGTTGTATGTAAAAAGTCTGAACTGTCCTAGAGAAACAATATAAATTTCAGGGCACCTGGGTGGCTTACGTGGTTAATCGTCTGCCTTCGGCTCAGGTTATGATCCCAGAGTCCTGGGATCGAACCCCACGTCAGGCTCCCTGCTTTGGCGGGGAGCCTGGTTCTCCTTCTCCCCCTTGCTCATTCTCTCTCTCAATAAATAAAATCTTAAAAAAAAAAAAAAAGAAAAAGAAACAATATAAATTTCCAAGCTTCACCTTGGCAACTAGCAAATCCAGTTTAAATTAAGATTACGCAGCAACTAGGAAAAGGTATTTCGACACTCACGCTCTATCACCTCCACTCCAAAATTTGAGAAAGGCACTTAGTTGTGACATCCCAGGTAGAATTATACTAGGATGGTTATACAGAGTGGTACATTACACTCAAAATGATTTTAGTAATATTTTTAGTGACTCAGGACAATTGCATATAGTTAGGTATACACGGATATTGCAAAGGAACTGTTAAGATCCTTTTTGGACCATTCTTATTATATGGTCTGGCAAATCTGGAGGTTGGTATCTCAAATATTTACTTCTGAAATAAACTTTTACTTTTTCAATTGTAATATATTCAAATTTGGGGTGTTCTTCCACACCCCCCCTAAAAAGACAGAAAAAATTAGAATAAAAGAGAAAGAAGGAATATCACAGGAAGCTGAAAATAAAATTATTGGAAGGGTCAATGAGAGCTCCATGTGGCTCCTTAACAGCCAGCTGCTTTAAAATTGGTCCTTAAGCAGTTGTAATGTGTGGAACTTATTTGATCTGGATTTGAACAAATCAACTGTAAAAAGACATTTCTAAGAACCAGGAAATTTGATTATGGACTGGATAACTGATAATATCAAAGAATTAGTGTTAATTCTGTTAAGTATGATGTTGGCTTTGCATTTATGTAATGTCTCTTTTTTTTTAGGGGTGCAAACTGATGTAGGAGAGATGTAACAGACAAATCTGAGACTACTTTTATAACTACGGGAGAGGCAAAAGCAAATGTGGCGATAGTTGACAATTGTTGGATCTGAATCATGGATATATGGGGTTCACTGTGTGATTCTATTTTTTATGTTTGAAACTTTGTAAACACATTTTTGTAATAAACAGTCTTTTAGACATTCGTCTCTTCTCATCACACCTTCTCTACATAAATCATCTGACTCCTGATTTCCAAGGCATGATCTCAGGGTCCTGAGATTGAGCCCCGCCTCGGGCTCTGTGCTGGGCATGGAGCCTGCTTAAGACTCTCTCTCTCCCTCTCCCTCTGCCCCTCCCCCGGCTCATGTCCTGACTCTAAAATAAATAAATAAATCTTAAAAAAAAAAAAAGTACACATGACCCCTCAGTTCTGGAGCCTGAGAGTCACACAAAAGCTGCACAAACTTAGGAAAGGGAGAGGAATGTAGACTATCTCTATCCTAATTAACCCCAACTACACCTGTCAGTGCTGACCTGTTCCCTGAGGCTTTCTTACATTTCCAATTGCTTCTTGAGGTCAAGCATAAGTGACCTCACACAACAAATTCACTGTCAACCGCTTCTCTTTCAAAACTATTGAAATTCTTCTGTTTGTAAATGACATCATTTATCTAAGATACTCCACAGTTAACATCCTGAATTTCCCTACCTTTTTCCCTTTCTACATCTCACTGTTTACAAATTCACCCCGTGCCTGTCACATCCATTCCCTTGTGAAATTCCTACCAGCACCACCCTATCATCGCTCCCCTGGCCCAAAATTATAGCCTAAATACTCTCCTAAATACTCTCCCTGTTCCACATGTCCAGCCCTCCCATCACACGGCCTCTCAAATTTCTTCCAGAAACACAAGCAGGCTCATGCTACTCCCTCCACAAAAACCTTCAAAGACTCAGTCAACCTAAAAATAAGCCAGGACCACCCTGTATAAAGTAGCAATCACCTTACCCCCCCAACCCCCTTAACCTGCTTTACTGTTTGCAACAGTTCTTATGACCTTCTAGATATTCTGCCTCCCGCCAAGACAGACCTCACCTGGAGAGGAGTTCTTTCTCTACCAGGTAACAAGCTAAATGGCACACAGTGACCAGTGTGTTTCTATCCCTATCCACAAGAACCCAGAGCATTATAAACAGGAAACACGAGTCAGTGACAGGCAGCTATAAACCTTCAGTAAATCTGATTATCAGTTCCCTGAGGGTTCTGCATTCCTGATTACTTCATTCCTGAGGCTTTGGGTCCTAATTGCTCAAAAGGCAAAAACCAAAGACCAGAGTGGATTTGAAGTATGTGCTTCAGTATATCCCAAAGTTTCCCTTGGAGCTCAAGTCAATCCCTAAAAAGTACATGTTCTATGTGAGTTCCCCAAAAGGCTCTAAGAGTTTTGAGTAAGTCAAATGAAATTAGGACTCACCTAGGGTGAGGGCAGAAGGGTGAGGCCCAGAACCTCACTCCTGTAGTCACCTGGGCCAGCCAGCCACCCACTTAAGTAAGAAAGAACATGATATAATCTCCAGGTTTATCTCAATTTTGACTTAACTGTCATTATGAATAAAAATTTACAAAGGGGTGCCTAGGTGGCTCAGTTGGTTAAGTGTCTGCCTTTGGCTCAGGTCATGATCCCAGAGTCCTGGGATCCAGCCCCACATCAGGCGCCCTGCTCAGTGGGGAGTCTGCTTCTCCCTCTGCCCCTCTGCCCCTGTTTGTGCACTCTCTCTCTCTCAAATAAAATCTTTACAAAAAAATTTATAAAAAAGACCCCAAGTCCATGGACAATTTAGAGTCTGCACCCACCCCGCAGGCTACCAGCATCTCTGGCCACTGTCCTTAAGTGATCTTAAGCTGCATTTTTTTAAGTCTGAATGGAATGTGGAAATTCATTGTGTTCATCAGACTTGCTTTTATCACTACTGTGACATTCTCTTGGGAGACTGATAAAGCTAATCCTCTCCTACTTAAAAAAAAAAAAAAAACTGAAGGACCACAGAAACCCACTAGGCCTTCCTTCTACTCATTCCCTCGTGCAACCCAACACTGAAAGCTTTAGAACAGTTGACACCAACTGTTCTAAAGGTGTGTCAGGTACAGTGGGATAGCTCTAGGAGGTGAGGGCTATCTATGTAACTTTCACCTCTGAATCCCTCCCAGCCTTCACACAATATACACGACCGCTGTGTTTAATTTCATCTTTCCTCAGCAAGGCAAAATATTCAATTATGTAAAATAGGCTGATCTCAAGCTGAATACAGAGTGTTTACTAAAGTGAATGAAGAGGATTCTTTCTTGGTAAGGGTCGCATAGGAATTAGTGAACCGGAAAAAAGTGAACATCAGAGTTTAGAGCCGCCAGTCAGCTGCAAGACAGACAGACCTCACCTGGAGAGGAGTTCTTTCTCTGCCAGGTAACAGGCTAAATGGCACACAGTGATCAGTGTTTGTCAGTTGAGAGTGACCAGTATAGGAGGGAGCCAATCAAGTGTCTTAACTGGACTAAAAGCCCTCTCAAATGTAATCTCAAAGTGGCTCCAGTCTATGATATCGTCAAGAAGTCAAGTCAGTTTCCAAGGAGTTCTAACCAGATCCACCCCCCCCAAGTCTCTTCCTAACTAAACCCTAAATTCAGGTTGTCCAGATCTCCCAGGATGGTTTGGGTCCAGAGTCCACATTCCTAGGTAAGTTTAACCTTCTTAAGCAAAGATCATGAGTATGAATGGGTTCTGAGGCAACTACACAACCTAGAGAGTTTCAGTAACTACCAGATCCTGGACTGTTAGGCCATCAAGTCAAAGAACTGGTTGAAAGTAATGATAACAGGGGTGTACCAGGTGGGTTTATCCATGACCACTCTCATGCTCCAAGCAGACTATTACAGTATCCCACGAAAATTCTTCAATAATTTACACCCTGAAGTTACTTTTTCAATTTAAATGGGGAAAAAAATTGCAAGCATGCAAAAAAACAGAAACAAAAACAAAAACCCATAAATGAGTAACTCCCACAGCATCTATCATATCCTTAAGAACTCCAAACCAAAACTATCAAAAATGATTTACATGGGGTAAATGCTCAAGTATTTGCCCCAAATCCTCAGCACCCAAAAGGCAAACCATGTAAACATTTTTGTTCCATAAGATAAAATCTTAGCCCCATCTTTCTCATTGAAAAGTTAAAACCCTATGATCGAGACGTCCTCATTCAGAAAATTCTCCAAAGGATTTGTACGATAAGGTAACAGACTCTTTAAGAAGGTGACACCTTTTCTAAAGAAATGAAAAAATTAAAATGAATTAAGCACTAACTAGTAACAATAGATGACACGGTGCTTACCATTCTACACGTTGTGTTTTACATGTTCATTCATTAATCTTCACAACCCTGTTAGTACCACCTTTATCACCTCTGTACAGTTGTGGAAACCGAGGCAAGACAATTCAAGTAACTTGCAAAAGCACATTTGCTTAGTGGCAGAGATGAGAACCCTGGGAGTCTGGCGCTGGAACCTATGCCTGTGGTTCCCAAACTTCCCAGCACACTGGAATCAGCCGGGGGAATCCTGAAAACTCCGGCCCCAGTCTGATTACATCGGCATGGGCGGCAACCTGGGATCGGGAGTGTCCAAGATGCCCAGGGGACTCTAAGCCAAGTTTGGGAACCGCTTGGTCTGCGCTTGTAACCACCAGCTAGCTGTGAGCAGTGTCGATGTAGTTCTGTTGCTCTTCTAGCCCCACGAATTTCTTCACCAAGGCGCCGAACCGGCGCAGGGACAGAGGGAGCAAACAAAAGGGAGGGAAAGAGGCGGCCGGCAGCGCCGAGGGCTCCGCGAGCGGGCCGCGCGAGGAAGCGGGGACGGGACGCGGACCGGCAGTGCGCGCTGCGGCGCCCGCGACCTT